TCAAGCCACATCAAGCTTGGCGCCTACGTCGAAACTCCCGCTGGCACATCACGGATCACGGCTAGTGAGACCCCCGAAGCAGCCTAAACCAGGGGCGGATCACAACCTACCCCCTGCGCCACCTATAGGAATGCGCTGCAAACATTACACGACCCCTAACCCCCTGTCCGTTACGTGCCATACGGTCCAAAAGGCCAGAAGCAGTGTGGCTGAGTGCAGCACCACCACCGCCAACAATGGCGTGCGTTGGTGTGATGTGTCGCGCGTTTCGTTTCGTATATCCCTCTTTTTCTTTGCTGCCTCTGCCTGGGCCAGCTTGCTTGCCTTAGTGCCTTGACTCCAGTTCGAGCGCGCGGTTTTTAATGGGATTAGACATACTTTAGCGAAGGGTAGCTTGGACAAGCTTCGCGCCTGTTTAGAGAGAAAAAGCACGACTTGTGGGCGGTGTTCGAGACTGTCCTGACTGGTGGTGCCGTGTAAGCGGAGTAGCGAGCGGCTTTACTGCACGTTTTTAGTATATGAGCTTGCGGAGCCCGCGTTTGCGCTGACCCTCTTGGTTTTTAGGTATCGTCTCTTTACATCGGCGAGTTTTGTTGCAGCATTGTTGAGCGCTTTCACGTTTCTTTCTTCTTGTTGATCGCTGATGGCTAGGTGACACTCGTTCGCTATTCTCTTCACGTTTACTAGCCGTCGATCAACCGTGATCATTTTACATATCCATATCCTTGTTTAATCATTCGGATACTGTCACTACATCTACGATACGAAATTCGAAGCATACCGAACGCCATGTCATACCTTCCGCCACTAGGAGCCTTGCTCCTGCCTCTTACGGCACTACTCGCCCAGTCTGCACTCGCTGCCAACCCGTATACCAGCTCCATGAACGAGGCACCCAAGGACAACAACCCAGACTGCGACTGCTATGTCGTCCAGTCCGGCAAAGATTCGCAAACGCCAGAGTACTTCCAATACTACCGCTTCTACGACTTCCGAAACCTCCCAGGCGCAATGAGCGATTCACCACCGCTCCTCAATGATAGTCAGATCGCGGGCATGGCGAACACATGGCAGCCAGATCTGTTCAACAGCGATGCTTGGAACTACGATTGGGGGATCCAGAACTGGACTAAGCCCGCCACCGAAGACTTCCCCGTACCGATGAACAACTCCTTCGCGAACATCTTCCTCGGTGAAGAAGACTCCACATCCTACCTCGCACTACGAACATCGCGCATGGATGACTACCAGACGGCTGGAGAGATTGAGAACCAGCAGAAGAACCTCATGCACGTTTCGATGCGCATGTATGGCCGTGTGCAGGGTGCCAAGGGTGCGGTGGCAGGGTTCTTCACCTTCTTCGACGACGATAACGAGTCCGATATCGAGATTCTGACCGACGATCCTAAAGACCAGATCCGCTACACGAACCAGCCTTCCGTAGGCGAGGACGGCAACGAGGTCGCTGCTGCGTCCGTTGGCCCCACCGATCTCCCCCGCTGGGACGAATGGCAAACACACCGCATCGACTGGCTGCCCAAGAATAGCTACTGGTACCTCAACCAGAAGCAGGTCGCCGCGAACACATACTCTGTCCCCCGCGAGCAGAGTTTTCTGGTCTTGAACATGTGGGGCGATGGTGGAGAGTGGAGTGGCGAGATGGATGTGGGCGACAGTGCCGAGTTCCACATTCAGTGGATCGAGATGACGTTCAACACCAGTGGACCCTATGAAGGAAAAGCTCAGGAGAACAAGAGGGATATCACCAGTTTGTTTGGAAGAAAGAGAGCGGAGAAGGGATGCAAAACCGTGTGCAAGATCGATGACGTGAAAGAAGTCGGTACGCCTGAGGTTGACAGCGGGGCCATGGGAATGAGTGTTTCTTGGGGACTGCTGGCTGTAGTTGGTCTTGTGTCTATAGTCGTCGGGATTTAGAGACTAGATGCGTTTGAATGATTGTAATATACCCAAGTCTATATACACTGCTGCATACTTTGAAACAATATGTTTAGGAGATACACCTGCGTTGAGATGATATGCTATGTTATTCAACTGCGTTGTGCCCGCAATTTCGAACCAGCACGTCCAACAACGCAATACCCAATTCGATCCCAATCTATCCCGTGAACAAGTTTGCATCTTACCACCAATAATTAGACGGTGGTAAAGCTTTCCAGTAGCCGTGATCCATGTCATCTTGCATCTCCTCTGTGGTTTGCCGAGGTAAGTCACAAGTACTACTTTCAACGTAGTACATCGGACCTACCAAACGATCCTCGTCTGATCTTCTGCAGTAAGCCAGTGGAGCTGGTTGTTCCGACCAGGTTTTCTCGCTGTTATACTCGATGAGATGTTTGAGCCCATCGTCCGCATACTCTGGAGCCGCTTAGCGCCCCAAATTACATGTCAAAAGATAACTAGTCGTGACTTACCTGGAGTGGGGTAGGCTAACCGTACAGTAAAGTCAAAGGCAATGGATCCTGCAACCCTCAACGCTTCCTCACGAAGGTACGTCAAGCTTCTGACGTGGTCGATGATGGACCTCGGGTGAGGACTTCGATCCGACATTGAAAGGTGCCAATGAATATGGATACTCTTCAGTTGAGAGAACTGTCCGCTTCGAACGGCGCTGAACAGTCCCCTGAAGTACGGCAACATGTTCATATACCATGGCCTGCCAGGTGCGTCAAGCCATAGGTGCTCGAGTGTGTTTGGAAGAGTGTCTGCTAGCATCGGTGATGTTTCTGTCAATAACGTACTCGGAGTATTTTGGCTGAGACCATCGTAGCCGAGAAGTAAGTATGGCTTCGCTCGCAGGAAATTTAGTGAGCCGAAGAAGCTGCTCATTCGGAATGTACCTGGACTTGAATTGAAAGTTCGCCAGATCACTCCTAGTGTATCCCCAAGTGACAAGCTGACGAGAGTGTTGGCATGTTGAATTAGTGCCGTCCTGACATCGTCATAGAACTCGTAATCGCGTGGTCGACGTTCGTACGGTGATACCACCTCAAAGTCGGTGATTGCCCTGCAAGCAACTATCATTTTCGCGGCGATGGAACCGCTGAAACGTGGAGATAGCAACGATAGTCTGGCTATAGAAGAACTGCGAACTGGCCATTTCCAAGGGTCTCCCATGAATGCAGAGTCGTCGGTATCTGGCCCAACAGCCCACGGGCGTCCATGATCAGTCTCACCACAGTTACCAAGGGTTAGGTCGGTTAAGCTTGGAAGCAGAAACAAAGGTAGCGCGTTACGGACCGGCCACTCGATACCGCTCTGGTATGCATCGAGATGAAGGACTTTGAGCCTTTTGAACCCACCCGCGTTGGCACTATGGACGATGCTGTTGAGCAAAAAGCTTGGGCTGCCCTCGTCCAGTTGTGATTTTGGGAGACGGAGCCAAAGCTGTTCCAGATTACATGCAGCAAGAACACATGGGGTGAGTAGCACATCTTCTCCCAAGATAGCGCGCTCAAGAAGGTCGTGGTCAGAAGCATGTGCCTGATTGCTATTCATAGCCGAGATGAGTTCGCCGAGCCACACGTAGCCTTCTGGCGTGTAATCCGGCACGTCGTTCACATCTTCGTCAACATCACTTCCGTTGCCATCCAGCATCTTCCGATGCCGTCTCTGATAGCGAACGCATCCTGCATCTTGAGTCGCACGTTCCTCGTTCTCTTCGTCATCGAGCTCGTTCTCGGGTCGCAGGCTATGCCCCGCCCAAAAATCGCCTACCTCGAAACCGTCTTCCATCTTCAGTCTCAGATTCTTGATGTACCCACACAGCTCCACGTTTTCGAGAAGAGTACGTGGTAGCTGGCGATAAGCCTGGCTATCCATGTCGCCTGCCCGCTCAATCGATTCGTAGATGAGCGATCTCGCGACATCTCTGAAGCTTCGGCAGACGCGACACAACGCCAGGAGTTCTCGCGAAGGAGCGGGTACACGCGGTGAAGAGAAGCATGTTATCGGCGTGTGCAGGAGACTGAATATTTGGAGGAGCAGCTCGTTCGGAAACTCGTCCATGACTGGAAGAAAGAACGAGAAACGTAATGCGCCTACGATGGGAATTGTAGCCCTTAAAACTCGGGAGGGAAAATCAGGCAGCAGTATGAGTCAGACGCGCTCACCCTGCGGACAAGAAGTCGCGTTCACGTAATGTCGCGTTTTCGGTTAGCTCGAGTTCAACGCGCTGCTCATCCGTGGACCTGGGCATGCACTTGCCGAGGCTGCGATGTTCTTTTACTCCCCAATCAGCTACGGCTTGTTGATTAAGCTGCGTCAACTTCGAGGCTATCCTCCGGCTCGGTGGTTTCCGGTCGACAAATAAGGGGACGCGGCAGCTACGTGAAAGCCACAATGACCAAAGAAGTCAACGAACAACGATGCATTTCCGCATCCGGACGACTGAAGCGAGATGCGATCGCTTTCGCAATAGCTCTGCCGCTTCTGTGTTGTGCGCATATGGCTTTGCGCATGAGAGATAAGACGAGAACATGGTAGTGTCTATGTTGTTCGCGCGATGCCAAATCGTGGCGTTCTCAGCTCGAGTCTGGCACGCTTCCAGGGTCCATCTGGTGGCCGAGAAGGCGGGGTGCCCGAAAACGTGGAGGGCCACGCAGCGCTAAAAGACAAGCAGCTTAGGTTTGGCAAAGGTATGCAAGGACGCAGACGAAGGCGTGGTGATGCGAAGGAAAGGTGGGTCTGGAAGTCGCGATGCGCACCTGTCAGCTGTCGAGGATGCTGACCCGTCTCGCCGCCACATGGGATCTGGTCGATGCGGATGGTCTGAGGCACGCCATGTTTATTGGTAACATTGGAGTACAATGACATGAGCAAATCGGTTGCATAAGTATAAGTTCAAGGCGGTATGATTGACTATAGCGCAAGAGACGGTGTTGAGCAGCAAATACCTCCACCCATCTATCATTACATCAGCAGTCTACAACAACCATCTTCTAAACTTACTTCGTCTCATACCCAAGCGACACTATCTCACCATGGTGTATAACCACGTCAACAAAGGAAACACAATTCTCGTCCCCGCCGAGTCCCTTGGTGGTGAGGAGAGGAAAAAGATCACTGTGAGCTGGAGTCAGTGGCTAGGAACTCGCTCTCAAGAGTATTACGTCTGCAACTACACAGTAGCGTCCAGTCGCACGTAGACCCTATACCTCTTTCGAAGTCTCCAGGCTGACTCATCACGAGCAGGCAAAAACGGCCTCCTCTATGTGCAATCCGACAAGCTCGAAGAGTTCAAATCGAAGAAGACAGGCGGTGAAGATTTCACTTTCACGGTCGACGAGACGTTCCAGTACGGGTCAAACGATGATGTTACCATATTCTTCCTCGTGTTCCACAACCAAGATAACAAGCCTTTCCAGGTCAGTAAGCTGCGATGAGAATGCGGGAGGCTGTACGCTTATTATCTTCCTATAGCACCGATTTATCAAGGAAACTATAGGTCAGCTTGAAGGGCAAGCTGCGGACTTCATCGCGGGCTTAGGCCTCAAAAGTCAAGCTGAGTCCTTTATTGGCGAGTACTTGGAGGACTATGAGGATTGATCGAACTTTCCCATATTTCACCTTTTGTACATCTTCCATACGAACTTGCACAGCTATTAGGCGGTCAAAACTCTGAACTACAGGGGGCTTCGGGCGCTACATATGTTTGCATAGTTCGTGGATATCAGGATCGAAATAAAATGAAAGTGTTTGAGACACATATATCACTAGCTACATGCTCCAACTTGTGGTACTACGAATTATATGTTCATGCTTCTTCTAAGTTACACTGAACATACTTCCATCTACATGTTCGATACCGAAAGACTACTTAGCAGTCTGCCACTATTCACACGTCGTATGTTTGACTTTTGTCCGTTCCACTCCCCCATCTTGCTCGTTAACTCATCCGACTTCCAGTCCACGCCTACCTCAGTTCCTGCTTGATCTTCCATCGTGCCCAGCAATCATCCGGCCGATACCTACATCTGATTCCTTTTTCTTCGTCGCATGCATTTAGCTCCGCGTCCCGGGTCATAACGCAGTCTCTATCTATACACTCAAGATTTCCATCGAAGTGCCAAAGTCTTTGAAGCGGCAGATCGTTTCCTTCAGCAATAGCAAAAGCTTTGACTTGTACCCCGGCTCCTCACGAGCTCCACTAGCTATGCCCAAGTCGAAACTCGACAGGCCAAGGCTTGCAGCAGTTATGAGAAGATAGTTATTGGTTTGAGAGTTCAGACATATCTTATCAACAAGGTCGTATATAAGGCTTCGTGGGAAGTGCCTGATTTGGAGTGCCCTCAAGCTATCTGGAAAGAAACCCTTCGGGTGAAAAAGATGTACAGGTGTATCTGAAATGAGCCGATCTTGGGGTGTCATGAGTTCGAGGGTTATTGTGAGCTCCTGTAATTGTGTGAGTTCTTTGAAGCTGGTGAAAGGTCTCTTGGTCCGGGGGGTCCAACCGGTAGTCCCGTGGGTGCACTCGAATATCTTCAGTGACGGAAGAAGGATACGCAAGAGTCTGCCCAACCGGCTATAGTCGTAGTAGGGACCATCGATGCAGACATTCTTCATCTTCAAGCTCTGTATACCATGCATTTCCGGTAGTTCTAGCATGCGATGAAGCTGATCCGGCTGCAAAGTGATATGCTGTAGTTCCAGGTTACGCAAGAACGTAATCCTTTTAGATCCTCTGTGTGACCATTGCAAGTCATGGTGGAAGGTATTGTTGGGGAAAGTTCGGGCACCGCTGGCTTTCAAGGTCTCTATAGGTGCCAATATTGGAATAGCCGCTTCCTTTCCAAGGTATACATCTAGGCTCTTCAACTTTCCCAAAGGCCAGACTCCCAAAGATGCGCTTTTGGTGAGTCTTTGCCAGCGTGCGGGGCAGACGGCTTCGATGATTGCAGAACTCATGTTCATCAGCCGAAGGTGTTCGAGGTTGGTTGCGAGACAGAGTATAAGAGCCAGCGAAGCATCTATAGCCCAGATCTCTCTGGACATACTATAATACCACGTCACGTCAAACAGAGGCTCTTTCAATGGGTACGCGAGGTCTTTGAGAGCTTTCTGTACCTCTGATGACTTTTTGGAGAGGTCTTTACTGGCCTTCTCAATGGTATTGTTCGGATCGTAATAACGAAGATAATGAAGGTCTGCTTCCCATTGCTCGTTAGCAATATCGAAGGCGAAGCTCCGGATGTGCTGTGAGAGCTCTCTGCGGCTGATAAGAGTTAGTAGAAGACGTGGTATGGAGAGTATGTTTGGACTGCGTACTTGGACGTTCCTGTAAAGATACGGCTCCGCTATCTTGCGATAGTACTTGTTTGTAAGCATCAGGTTGTGGACGGCACGTTGCGGGAGGTATTGTATGATCATCTCGTCGATTTCAGTGGAAAGTTCCGAGAGCGACATCGTTGGATGGTGACTGCGGTTGAGAGGCGGCTATTCGGAGATGTCGGAAGATGTGTTGACCAGGTTGTGCCTCCAGAGAGTGCGTTGTCTTTGCGCAGAACGTATGGGGAAATGTGTGTCTTTGTAGGTGAGACCCGACCGGCGAGAGTTTAAATATTTTCGTCCTTTTAGGCAGCAGCAGCAGCACATGACTGGGGTGAAGTGAACTCTGGTTGAGATGTTGTCGAGGCGTCATCGGAACCGAAACTTGAGCACCAGTCGAACACGACTTCACATCCGACATATCAAGCGCTGGCGCGCCGTTTCGCGTACCTGGACGGTCTGCACTGTGCTCGCGTTAATGCCCAGCCCTGGAGGTGAGTAACGAGGGCGAGCACGTGTAAGAAGGTCCGTGCCTCTGATACAGCAGGTGTGCCCTTTCCACTTTCGCTCCTTCGATTAGCAACGCGCAGGTCATCTCGCAAACTACCTTTGACCAACTCTCCAAAGACTTCCAGCTCATCCTCATACATCGGCGGTGCGCAGTCACGACATATTGCTCATTCTCGCGACTCTTCGCCAACAAGCTATCCACGACTCACGAAGTCGATACTACACCCATATAATCAGGTGCGCTCGGGTGAGAAGTATCATCAACACAAGAAATCAGTCGCTCTGGCCCTCCCTTACTCACCCACTATGGATCGTCTCTCAACCGAGCTAGACGAAAAGATTATCCAGCAACTGGTCGGAAAGGAAGCGTCTGCTCTTTCGATGACATCAAAGTACTATCGATCACTTGCAGAACCACAGCTCTACCGAGAGCTCAATTTCTCGACCAAGCAGTGTATAGACTTGATGTTGTTATTCGAGACGCTTGTTGATCGTCAAGATCTCGCAAAACACATTCGTTCCTTCACTATGACCATGAACGGATCGCCAAAATTTACCTGGATCTTCGACGTTATCTTCGACCCCCGCTTCCGGAGTAAGATAAATGCGTACGAGCGGGTCATCAGGGAAGTTATTCCATCATCGTCAAGAGACCGAGCCAGGCAATGGCTTGATCAGTTGTATCCAGATCAGATGTATCCAGGAGAGCCTATGATCGACGGACAGCTCGCGGTTATTGTCTCTCTTGCCGAGAACATGGAGCATCTGATACTCGATCGTGTCTACCTTTCTAGTCTTCCGATCACCTGGTCAGTCCTCGAAATGTCCTGGGGCAAAGTCAATGGCGCCCCTCTGAGTAGCGGAGGACACAAGGGAACTGCCTGGAGGTATAGCAAAGGCTCCGCCTAGCGTGCGGAGGGCCACATACCCTCTTTAGATGGAAGCGAGTAGTCTATAACGGGCGGACGTTTGGTGCGATACCGATAGATTGGAGAGACAATTGAGACGGAGATGACGCATTTTGGACACGCTGGTCTTCCTACTATTCAATGCCGAAATGTGGCATTAGAACAGACAACTTGGTCGTAGCAAATACGATAGATCTAAGGCATCGCTATAATTTGCACTCATTCAGAATGTGAATGGGGCATGTAATGTCAGGAGTTTTGTTGACGAGGCGCGTTCTGAGGATGAAAGCAGCCAAATGATTACGTCACGCCACGGCGATCTCCACGCCTCGGCCATAGCGGGGTTAACTTTTGGGAGCCGAGCTGCGAACTGCCTAACACACGCGTCAACGTTAGCCATCATCCGCAACACCATGGAGGAATATAAGGCCAAGTACGCCATACACGAGGCGTGTCGGGAAGGTCAAAGTGCGTGTCCCACCCTCAGCTACGAGATCAGGCCTAACAATCCCCAGCATCCCGAGTCGACTCCCTCCTCGCCGCGAACCCCAAGCTCGCAAACCTCCGCGACCCAGACGATCGCCTCCCAATACACTGGGCCGTGTCCTACAATCACCTTGCTATCGTTCAAACACTCGTGCAAAGCAAGTCGTTCGATGCCGATATCACAGACGGCTCAGGCTGGACGCCACTCATGATGGCATGCTCGCGGAAAGACGCAGAGCCAATAGTAGACTTGCTGCTCTCCAAAGACGCCGACGTAAACGCGAAGAACAATAACGGTCAGACCGCCCTACACTTTTGCGCGTCGAAAGTCAACCTCGATATCGCACGCACACTGCTCGCACAGAAGCCGCCAGCGTCAGCACGGATAAAAGACAAGCGAGGCCAGCTTCCACTGCACCGCGCAGCGGCGGTGGGCAGCGTGCCGATGATGAAGGCGCTTTTGGATGCAAAGAGCCCTCTGAACGCGACGGACATGGATGGCATGACAGCGCTGCACCACGCGATGAGCGAGGGGCATGGTGACGCGGCGCTGCTGCTGCTCACCATGGGCGCGGAACACGACAAGAAGGACACCGATGGCCATGTGCCGCTGGACCTCGCGCCAGATGCGAAGACTAGGAGCTTCATATTGCAGGCAGCTGAGCGGGAAGGCGTCGAACTGCAGTAGGGACGATATATCTCACGACGTGTAATGTTGCATTTGCGGAGTCAACACGATACCCAGGGTCACGGCGCAATGAGGCTGTCATATCTATGAACACATTCACAATTGAGCTAATATCTGCGAATTGCTCTCATGCTTTATGCCATGCGGATCGCTGCCTGGTCGGTGGGGTGGCACGAGCTCGTGATGACTACTCCCGACCTCGACATGCCTTTCTCTCGCAGCCCCTCGCACCCCGCGTGTTCTGCACTTCGGACCTATTGCGCAATCGCACCTATCGCCTGCATTAGCCCCCACGCTGCCATCGGCATGTCATCAGCCCTGGAGCGGGGCCTGACCTAGTGCCTGTCCGCAGCGATCAGTCTACATTCCATGCCTCGAGTCCCAGCGTCTGCACACGCACGGATGCGAACAGGCAATCGCATCAGCTATCAGCTCAACTGTGAAGCACGCGACAAACTCTTGTCAGACGTCGCAATCGCAACTCCACGTGGTGACGTTACTTTGCTCCTGACGCGTGCTCATCCTGAGGATGATTCGCCATCATGGTGCTAATCGTCACCCATCATGGTCTTCACGGTTTGACTATATAGCTGTCGCGGGGACGATATACCGAGGCTGAATCCGCGCCGTTTCCTCCCTCGAAGACGTACACAGAAAGTACAGTCTGGACTGCAGCTACCCCGGAAGTATAAGTCGCAACCGCATCGATCAACTCTAGGTTTCCTACATTCTCTCCTCAGCACACAATACCACACAATCACTCTCTTATTCAGCACGTCATACACCCATAGTATAGCAGCATGGCTACCTTCTCCGATCCATCGACGTACCTGAATTTTCTCATCTCTCCGCGAATCCCTCCAGAGCTGGTCCTTAAGACTATCCAGCACCTGCCTTTCAACGATGGCTCGCTCATTACCACTATCCGGAGCGCACATCCTAGACTTCGTGCCATCTTCAGGAACTACGAAAGATCCATCACTGGCAGCTTCATGAAGAAAGAGCTCCGGCACGCAGAAACAGACTTCAAGTGTGGAGATGATCGGCTCAACGTCGACTGGCTGGCCGATTGCGTTCACAACTACGATATTGTCGATGACGTTATGGACGCCCTCTGCTCCGAGCACAATTTCAACGCAGTCTTACAACACAACGTCCCCCTCGCAAATGCCGGACTACTGCTATTATACCGCCTGACATCAATCGGTCAGTCCACCCGCCAACCCCTCTCCAGCACAGCCTCAGCTAACCTCCCTCTCAGAAGACCACGCAGACCGCCTAACCTACATCAAATCCCTCCCCCGCGACCCCCTGGTTGCAATCTACCTCGTCCTCCACCACGCCACCCTCTCCGCCCGCTACCACGGCTCAGGCTGGATAAATCAACGCACCTACGGCCGCTTCATGGACGCAAACCAAGTCGAACTACGCAGCGAACTAGAATTCTGCTTCGCAGAAGCGGCGCTGTGTCTCGGTCCGGAGTTCATCTCAGACACACTCCTGCACCACGATACCTCAGATGCAGAGACTACGTTACTGAATTTCTACCATGATCATGGCACGCATGATTGGGACTGGCCTTGTTGGGGGACGGCGAAGGGCGAGTTTGAACCGCCCAGGACGCAGGGGCCGCAGAGGGAGGAGGGGAGTGGCAGGAGCTTGTTTACGACGATGTTGGAGAGGTTAGCGGAGTGCATGGCGTGTGAGTTGGGGGATGTTAGGCTGAGGGTTGAGCGGCAGCTTGAGAGTGCGGAGCATGAGTTGGCGTATTTGAGTTTAGCGGGGAAGGCAAGTTTATTGGAAGGAAAGGATGTGGAGGTCGTCGATGGTCGGTAGGGCGGGGTGTTCGAGTCGTCTTTTGGATCGGACCGGACTGGACTTGAACGGCATGTATAATGGCATTCCTAGCAGACCTTCTAAATTTTGGTTACTCCTCATGATGCAATACATATAACGACGTCCAACGCCCTAAACCAACTCATTGTAAACATCCGTCCTCCTCTTCAACGGCGAGTCATTCCTCATACTCCTCACATACTCAACATCAACCTCCGCACACGCAATCTCCCCTTCATCCTTCCAACTCCCCCCCTCCCCCTCATCACCCCCCAGCTCCGCCACAATCTTCCCCCACGGATCCACAATCATACTATGTCCCCAACTGCGCCTCTTGCCCTCCTCATCATGCACGCCCACCTGCGCCGCAGCGATAATATAACTCTGCGTCTCAATCGCACGGGCGCGGATCAAAATCTCCCAATGTCCTGCTTTTCCAGTCGGCGTGGTGAAGGCGGCGGGATATAACAGCACTTCTGCGCCCCGCGCGCGGAGGGCGAGACCGGGTTCGGGGAAACGCAGGTCGAAGCAGATTTGCATGCCTAGTTTTCCTACGGGGCTGTCGAAGGGGTCGCCCAAGTGGATGCCGCGTTCTACGCCGGCGGATTCTTGCATCTGGGGCCCGTCTTTTACGTCCATGTCGAAGAGGTGGAGTTTTTGGTAGCGGTACTTGATCTCGCCTTCTGCCGTAATCCATATCAGAGTATTCTTAACCTTTTTTCCATCGTCTGTGGGCTCGTGGATGCCGACGGAGATGGGGAGACTGTATTCCTGGGCGGATTTGCACAGGCCTTGGACGAATTCGGAGTCTTGGACGGATTTGCAGAGTTTGAGACCGCCGGAGGTGGTTAGGTAGTCTGCTGCTTCGGGGAGGAAGAGGGCGGCGGCGCCTGCTTCGTGGGCTTTGCGGCAGAGGGATTGGGCTTGTTTGAGGTTGTCGGCCATGGAGGCTTGGGAGCGCATTTGTCCGACTGCCTGGGGGTTGTTAGTATAGGGGTTTGATGGTTGGTTTGTACAGAGCAGTCCATATCGACTCGCGAGTACTCTCTTGAGCGGTGTGTAGATGTGGCGAGATGTTGGGGAACACGAGTTGTTCTAGATAAGAGCCAACATTGAACAAGATTTGGGATGATATATGGAAGGTACCCAAGTCCATAGAACGAATTACAAAGCCTCAAATCTGTACATTGACGGTACTGGTTGGCAACGATGAAATGATGGACAATGGGAAACAGTTTAGATGGCAAGGAAACGAGAGATGACTGGGAACAACTTACTGCGAGAGGCATCTTGAAGGTATTGATCGGTTTGGTTGTGTGTGTGGGAATATGTGGAAGGAATCAAGGTAGCTCTGATCTATATGAAGACAGCAAACAGAACTAAAGAAAGAATACTGCTGTCGTCAGAGACGGCAGGCGCGATGCCACTAGAAGCTAGTTCAATCGTAGCAGTCATCGTGAGATGCATGTTGCATCTGAGAACGCATGCCAAAAAAGCATATGGCATGGTGACAGCATGGACAAGTGAAGATGTCCATAGACCGATCGACATGCGGAAGTCCCCTGCATTAAGGCTTGGTGGTGGGAATTGCGTCAGGGCAGAGAGCGGAGTTGCGGAACATTTGCTCGGCCAATCGGCGTGCGGCTGGCATGCTGCAACCGCGCCCGTCATCTCGAGGGCTTGCGCGGCAGGAACCTTGGGAGCAAGAGGACACGCATGCGATTGGGGCCGCCTTCCGATGATACGAGCTGATCTAGCTGCGACGACTAATTTCGCGTCACTACTCTCGACGACATCCACCTATGGTCATTGCTGTGACACCCCGCGAACCCTACTGATCGCGTACGACCTCCAACAGACCAGCCTGGCCTCCCGCGCAGTTGAGCTATGAACAGACACAAGCGCCGAACGAGTGCACGCTGAACGCTAGCGAAGCGTCGTAGACGACCCATCGCCCCAGGACACGTACAGTTGCAAAGGCACGATGAGCGGGAAGAACTGGTGGAACAGCGCCATCTCAGGCCTGGAGTCGCGCCTTGACGGTATCCTGGCCGAAGATGGCACCACCACCACCAAGCCGGCGGGCACAGAGGCAGGCGCCAAGTCAGACACGACAGAAAAGGCAGCGACGGACAAGAAGCTTGCGGTCGAACCAGGTGGGTGGCCTTGGAGACACTTGCTGTTACCAGCTTCCAGAGAGCTAACGACACAGGTATCTCGCGCACCTCGTCACGAAGCCGGCCCAACTCTCGATTACAGGATCGTCTAGCCAAGGCTGTGAACAAGGGATCCGAAGCAAGAACTTCGTCGGACCTTGGATCAAGACCTGCGAGTCCGGCCGTGAATGCTGTCACCGCATCGCCAAGAGCAAGCATAGACTCGAAGGCGCCTGAGCCAGCGACTGAGGCGGTAGCTGCGAAAGAGGAAAACACAACGGTGAAGGAAGATGAGGTGCCCAAGCCGGATGAAAGCAAGGTCGAGGAATCTCCACAACCCGCCGTAGAGGCACCTGCGCCCATAGTCTCTCCTCCAGCGACTTCACCACCACCTACACCTCTAGTAGCCGAGCAGCCGACCTCGACGCCCGTTCCCACCATGTCCATGCCGTCGATACCCTCCATCGTCACCCCGCAAACCTCGTCTCCCCGCCAGTCCTTCGACAGCGACCCGTCGCGACCTTCAATCGACGTACTCCCCCCAGCGCTGTCTACCGAGACCAAAGATCCCGAAGAAGTGCAGGCTGAGCTATCGCTGTTGCAGAAGACATACGAGGAGACGATGCAAGACAATCGCGAGGAGCTCAACTCTCACCTCGAGCGAATCGATGCTTTACAGTCGAAGCTCACATACCTCTCCGAACAGCTTGCTGCCTCTGCAAAGACCGCCAAGTCCGATTCGGAAGCGACCCCGGCGGACAAGAAGCTTGCGGACAAGGATGCCCAGATAGCTGCGCTCATGGAAGAGGGGCAGAAACTCTCAAAGACGGAGATGAAGCATCTGACCACTATCAAGAAGATGCGCGCAAAGACAATGGATCAGGACAAGGAGATTGCGACACTCAAACAGCGGCTGTCAAAGGCGGAGAAGAGCATCACTGAGCAGTCGGAAAGGGCACGGCGCGCAGAGGCGGCGGAGAGGTCTGCGCAAGAAAAGTTGAAGATTGTGGGTAGGATTGAGAAGGACATTGAGACGATCAGAGCTGAGCGCGAGGAGGCTGGACTTACCATATCTGAGCTGCGGAAGCAACTTAACGATGCGCTCTCACGAGCCGAAGATGCTGAGAAGAGAGCCCAATCTGGAGCGCTGGAAGCAGAGAAGAGAGCCACTGCGTCACTCAAAGAAGATATCGAGAATGTCCGGATAGAAAAGAAGCTTGCCGAAGATCGCGCGAAGAGAGAGCTTCAAGCGGCCAGAGACGAAACGAAGAGCCAGCAGGAGAAAGCAAAGGTCGCCGAGCTTGAATTGCGCGGCGAGATTGCTGTGAGTTTTGACGGCGCTTACAAACAGATAGACACTGACAGAACTCTAGAACCTGGAATCTAAGCTCGAATTGCTCCGCAGCCGCACAGAAGAGGCCTCTTCATCTGCGACTGGTGACTCACAAGCTAAGCTTCTGCGACAGATTGAGACGCTGCAGACCCAGTACTCGCTGGCTTCCGAGAACTGGCAGGGTATCGAGACCACTTTGACGTCTCGTATGGCAACTCTTGAGAAAGACCGCGACGAGACAGCAAAGCGCGAGTCTGATGTCCGACGAAAAGCAAGAGAAGTCAACTCGAAAGCACGCCGACTGGAAGACGAGCTCGAGAGCATCAACGAGCGAGCTAGGACGTTCGAACATGACTTGACGGAACAGCGTACGGCAGCTCAGAAGCTCCAAGCTAGGCTCACACAAGCAGAGACGGCAGCACAAGATGCGCGAGCCGAACTTGAACGAGAAAAGAAGGTGTGGGAAGTCGAGCTGCAACAACGAATAGAAGAGGAGAAGAACAAATGGAAGGTAGAGATACAGACGCCATCTCTACTAGGCGATTCTCATCATCTACGAACAGACTCACCTTCAATAGCACAACGCCGGCATTCACCCGACCCACTTGGGATATACAGCCGGCGACCGAACCCACGCTCTATCTCCAGCGGCATGGACATGCCCATGATGTCCCCTATGGACCGCATGTTCGACGAAGCCTCGCGCCGCCCCTCCTCCTCCCGCCACAACAAATCCAGCAACGCGACCAAAGTGCGCACCCCCGAACTCGGCACCCCCCAACGACAAGACTCCATTCCATCAAGCATGTCGAACCTCAATGGCGGCCTGGAAACACCGTCTATCCACACCATCGACCACGACAACGACCCCTTTGAAAACACATCCTCCCCCCACCGCACAATAAACGACATGATCAGCGTCTCCACCGCCGGCGCCGGCCCCTCCGTCCAACTCGTCGAGCGCATGAGCGCCGCAGTCCGGCGTCTGGAATCTGAAAAAGCGACTCATAAAGAAGAGCTAGCCCGCTTAACTGCCCAGCGCGACGAAGCCCGCGAAGAAGTTGTTAAGCTCATGCGTGAGGTTGATGAGACAAGGAAACAGGGGGAGAAGGTGGGCGATTTGGAAAAGAGGTTGGGCGAGATGGAGAATAGGGAGATGACGGCGTTGGAGATGTTGGGCGAGAAGACGGAGAGGGTCGAGGAGTTGGAGGGCGATGTGAGGGATTTGAAGAAGATTTATAGGGAGTTGGTTGATACGTTGAAGTGAGGGGGTGGTGTAGCTGTGGAGGCGGGAATCGAGATGCTCCCTTTCCTCCGTTTTTGTGTCACGAAACCGTGGTTCAGAGTGTTATTTGCTGACCAATGACGTCGCTTACCTCCCCGTAGTGTGCACAACCATGGGCCGCAAACAGTGACTCATGTCGTCGAACTGGCCGCCTATATCTATACGCGCCCCTCAAACCACGAATCTTCGTTCTATATCACAGTTAGACCTTGATGATACACCGAGTAACAATTTCCACATCCGTGCGACCCGTTGCGCCTTTGCGACTGCCAACATCATGGATACGACCAAGATAGCACCTGTCGTTTGGATCAACGGATTTCCAGGCTGCGGAAAGCTTACCATCGCCTCCGTTATGAAGATCCTACATACCGACATGATCCTCCTGGACAACCACAAGCTGATCGACCCCGTGGAAGCAAAGTTCCAACGAAGTCACCCAGAGTATCAAAAAGAACGGCATCGATATCGGCAACACATCTCCAGGGAATACGTCAGTAACCCGGCTACGTTATCGCAAGTCGTCGTTTTCACCGGTAAGAATCCTATGTACCCTTCGCTATTAACACTTTGCTCATTATTATTGTTGTTGTCAAAGATTACCAGTCCGACAACGCACTAGGGCAAAAGGTTGCGGAAGAGTATCGGGAAGCAGCGAGACAGGCTGGACGTCCGTTCAAGCCTGTCTATATTCTTTGCGATGTCGAGGAAAACATCAGGCGAGTTGCTGCTGCTGGACGCGTTAACGGTAGTGCCAAAAAGCTCACTGATCCTGAACGTCTGAGGGATTTCAGGGAGAGATGCGACATATTTCGATTTGATGGTTGCGATGGGTTAAGCCTCGACACGACTGACAGTACGCCTGAAGAAGTAGCTAGGGAGATACTTCAGTTTGTGAAGGAAAGATGAAAACTAAGCAGTTCTTCCCGGTTCAAGATTGTTATTTTACTATTTGAATTGGCGGGTGGTGCTACTTCGCTTAGCTGGGAGGTGGTAGCCAAAGAGTCACTATGCTCTCAGCCTTGTCACAGACGTGTGTTTGTGTCCCACAACATTCATTGATGTGGGCTAGTCAGGTGAGGTAAGTGTGACTGAACCTCCGCACGAGGTAGAAGTATCTCTCAGTCTTTTCACAACTCAAAGAGCACCTTAAAGAACTGCTGTCGGCCATTCTATGGGCGCCTCTTCATGACGCAAACGTATTGATCGTTGACGGTCGTCACGTCTCAGCCCCGTCACTTGGGGACTGGTGCCTATTTGATTAAGGCGACACTGCCAATGATAAGTGTCTAAAACACTCTACTCTTATTCGACAGCTATATGCAGAAATCTCTTGCTTTACAATCCTCACGTTCATTGACCCAACTTGGTAGTGGCGTTATCATGTCTGCTCCCACCAGCGTATCAGCAATAGGTCCTACCTGGCGCTTCGTTCTCCACGGCGGATGCACCGAGAGCTGCCCGGACACTGGCCGCCAGAAGGATATTTGGAACATACTTTATATGATTTGTGAAACAGTCCCTGAAGCGCTCGCGGACGGTCTCTCTGCAAAGGAAGTCGTTGTACTTGCCGTCTCCGCTCTCGAGGATTCCAATGGATGCCTGCGTTCTACGAAGCTAGTTGCTGTGATATAGACCTCTAGCTACATTTACTTCTTTTTCGCCTTCGCCGCCGCTACAGCATAAGCTCCAAAAGCTTCCGATTTCCTCACTTCGAAGTATACGTACAAGCCAAAACACAACACCGCAGCCACAGCTCCACCAACCAGCAAGCAGCAAACAATAAGGAGCATATACTTGCATATTCGTAATCCTACCGGTGACGTGAGCACACAGATCAAGATCTGGGACAGCGCTGGCCACAGCACGACGATGCGGAAGTAGATACGCAGCGGTAGCCACGTACTGCCGGCAATAGCCAAGTGAAGGGGATTGAGACTAGAAATGAGGCTCTTAGCCCCACTAGTGTAGTAGCGATCTTTTCTGAACTCTTCCCTGAAGAACACAGGAGTCACCGCGCGCATATGGCACGCGATTGGCGTCTCATCCCTGTCTTTCGACGACTCGAAATTGACACGCACCATCTCCACTGTGATCTTGGCTTTCAGGCCCCGCAGCATGCGACCGGCCATCTCTGGCGTCACCTCCTCCGGATTCGCGTTCTGGAGCAGAGCTTCGAAGACGGTCCGCTTGTTTGAGTCGCGGACGTTCATACAATTGTCGTAAGTCCGAACGTTGGAGTTGTCGACCAGTGTCCTCAATTTCTTAAAGAATTCTATCTTGTCCGCGAGTGGTACGGGCATTACGGCAATGTAGTGAAAGATGGTGGTCCATTCGGTCCATTTTTCGGGGTGTTCGGACATTGCGTGGACAATAAGATCGGGTCCAGAAGGGGAGGGAACGCGGGAATCGAAACCTGAGTCGTCAAAGAAATGCGCGAGCGTCCACATGTACTCGAAGTGTAAGGCCCCATTTTCTTGCACGTGTCCGAAGAAAAGGCTTTCTAACGCTGTCTTGGATATCTGTGGCGACTCGTCAAAGACCCAGCCTGGGTTCGCTCCTGCGCACAGAAGGATATCAGCCATGGTAGGGTTCGGATACTTGCCCGGGGACCAGCCTGCATAGTGTAGCAGCGGACGACCGGGCTTTTTAATGAGATCAGGTTGCCTTCTCAGCGCTCCCGAGACAAAAGCGCACATGTTGTTGCTCACTGCGAATGCCAGGAACGTAGTTTTCCAGGCTGGAGGGTGGTTCAGGCGTGGACCCGGCCAGTAAGCCTTCCCTTCGGCCGACTTTGAGAGGCATCGATCAAGAACGTGGATAAGGTCGTAGGATTTCGTTCCATCCATGAAGTCCAACTTCGGGGCGTACCTCATCATGATTTCTGTTGGTTCCAGGGTCCATCTAGACTCCTCCCGCAGGGTGTCGCTCAGCTGGACATAGGCGAGTGCAATTGAAATGTGGTACATAGCGCCAGCTGCCATGATTCCATCCTGTGGTTGGGGAAGTCTATCGCGTATCTTCGAAAACAGATCTGTGTCCGATGTTGTCAAAAATTCCCTCACTGTCTGGTGAAGGAACTGAACTGTCCAAATCGGAGCGTCTGGCATGAGCATTGAGTTATGCACAACCCAGTGATACGCATCGATGTAGGCGTCAGGGTTGGTCAAGACGGCAGTCTCGTCATGCACGCCTGATACTATGTCTGCGATCAATTGATCTCTTAAAGCGATCCTGGCTCTTTCCTGTGAAGCGTCATCTTCTCCGGGCTCGTTCGTAGGTTTGGCAACAACCGATTTCCTCAATGCTTCCCACATCTCAAGGGCTTCCGTGCGTCCTTCTGGCATAACGACCTGCACCAACCCTCCCGTTGCGTCTCTTATGCGCTGCTCCAATCTAGGGCCACTTCTACTCATATCCAATATCGGACGGGGCTCAATTGCATAACCGTCTTCGGTAAAAGTTTGGTATGGAATCACCTCGAGAAGGACACCTATGTCCATTACACTCACCGGTTTGTCCGCCGCCAGGAGCGTCCTGAAGATGGCGTCTGTCTCTCCGCGAGTCTCTACCGGTATGCTGTCGAGTGTGGACAAGTAGAGCTCAGCCATTTGTGTGTTTGTCTGATCCAGGTTCAATAGTCGCGCTCGTACGTTTCCCAAGTATTCGCTTCGTGATAGGCTGACATGCACGCTGTCGACGACCAGGCGAACCCAAAGAAACACGCCCATTGCCTGATCAACAATGAACCTGCAGATCTCCTGCAGCTGATCGCAGAATTCCGAATCTCCAGCCATGTCTCGTGCGCGCCGGTGGGATTCCAATCGGCTGTGGACATAATAGTATATGTCCTCTTTGGTCCAATCCTGCACCCGCAAGCCAGGTCGGCCCTTCAGTCGTACATCGAACGCGCTCTCCGGGCGGCTGGTGGCGCATACCTTGAAGGTACCAAATCCTTGGTCGGCCTCACCTGATACCAGGAACTCCAAGAAGTCGGCCATATATTCCCAATTCTTCTCATCGTTGTCACTCTCGTCCAAGGCGTCTATGAAAAGACACATGCGAAATTTGACTATTTTCTGCGACTTGCATAGAAGCAGAATCTTCTCAAGCTCTTCTAGAGAGAAGGAGCTTTGTTGGCCATGGGAAGCGATCAACGGTTCGATGATGGAATGAAGGGCGGGGTGGGAACATAAGAGTTTGTACACGATTGCACCGACGACTGCTTTCCAGGATCTGTTTTCTTCCTCAATCTCGCGCGTTAAGAAAACTGCTGTATGAGACCAACCAGATGTCTTCAGGGTTCTGGCGATGTCGCCCGACTCGCATAGGTACTTCATCACGGTAGACTTCCCGGAGCCTGGCACACCCTGGATCCAAAATATGCCCTCTTCAACGCCAAGCCAATGCATTAGGCCGGGTCCTTGCTGGTCCGCTTTTAGGAGCCATGAGAGCGTGCGATCATGAGCTTCGTCAATCTGGTTGGTTTTCAACGTCAAGGCATCGGAAAAGTGTTTGAACAAAGACTCATTTCCTATCGTAAATTTATTAGACAGCGTGCCCAAAGTCGAAGGCTTGAGCCTCCCGCCAGAGAATCACGTACTTTCCCGCAGTGCTTCGTACACTCTGTTCATATGCTTGCTTATCTGGGGTCTCACCACTTGCTCATAATCAACCCGAGTCGGACCTGTCCTACTGAACTTGCACATGTTCATGTGATTGGCGGTAATGGGCAGGCGCCGTTCTTTTGCGTGTCCAATTTCTGAAGAGTCTGGGTCTACAATCTATAATGGGGGTAGCGTCAGCTATTCAGGCTTTTCCAAGAGTTCTTTGCCGGGTTTCATACCTTTTCATCGAAGCCGTTGAAGCCTTTGTACCCCAATGACTCCTGGTAAGATGTAACATAGAGCATTTGCTGTTTGTCCAGCTTTTTTCTGAAGTCATCTCTTAGTATTTGCAGCATTGCGTCATTCGGCGTGAGCAAATCGAGGTTGATGTTGCTCGTCGAAAAACCGATCGCTTTGGCAAAACGGGAGATGATCTTGCCCGTGCTGACCCAAAGACTCCCGCGATGAGGGGTACCGAAGAATAAGACGCCCGCCGTTGATGCTAGTATGTCTTTCAGGTCTTCATCTTCATCCTCAGCTTCGGCTGATAGCCTCAAGGCCTATTTTGAGTAAATGTCAATTGACCGAACACTACTAGGTGATGATGAGACCCAGAGAAGACTTACCGATTTGACGACTAAACCACCAAGAGAGTGCGCAATGAAAATGATGCGGCGACCTCGCACTTTCTCTCGCTGAGGAGCAAGCCGTTCGAGCAGGTCTCGTCCACGGTCGAGGATGTTGTCGCGGTTAGCTGGGCCAGAGAAAAAGTGGCTAACGGAGGAATCATAGCCATAGGTGAAAACGCGCGCTTTGGGGAAATCCTCGAGCAAGAAGTCTCGCGGCCAAAAGGTGTTTGAGGGTGGAGGAGTTCCGGGCAAATCACCTGCGGGCTCCGTTGCAGCTGCTTTTGCGGACCGTCGGAAAAAGGAACCCTTGGAAGTTGGTTTGGTAGATGCTTGGTTGTTAGTACCCTCCGAGAACGTCCACGTGCTCTCCGGGTGACCTTGGAGGCCATGTACGAAAACAATGTCAAATTCTCGAACCGCGTCGCCTTGAGTGAGCTCGGTCAGGCCATAGATGGAGATGGTCGCGGGTACTGGACTGTTCGCTGTAGGAGTGGTAGTGTCCGCCATGTTGTCAGCCCATCTATGGCACACTTTTAAAGAGTGATCTCTGAGTAGGCGTGTAATGAAAGGATGAGTCTTCTAGTAAGGCGTGGAGAATAAAGTGGGTGAGCAATGGCGGGCTATAAGCATATCCCTCCATGAAGGTTTCCGTATGCTAGCTAAGTTTGGGTGCGGCTGAAGTCTTTAGTTGGAGAGGCTGGATTCAGCCACGAAACACTCTAGCAATACTACAACCTCTCAAATCGCAGCTGAATAGATAGTCTGGACGCCAGAGGCGCAATCGACTGCAGCCTTCAACCTCGTGAGCGCCACGACATGATACGCTTATTGCGCTTGCAAACTGAAGCAGGAGTCTTTGGTCTGCTAATTGTATGTTCGTGGGTTGAAAGTTGCAGTAATACATACTACGAGCAGGCGCTATGTATGGTCGAAATGCGACGATGAATTTGATTATAGGGCGCAATGCCAAAGATGAAGGGTGCGATTGATGTTGAAGAAGGTAGGAGAGGGGCTTATCACCGGAGCAGGGAAGTAGCGGCTCAGGTGGGCCGTTGCGGCCTGGGCTGTTGTGATTGGGTCGGAGATGCAGGCAGCTCCCCCACTTTCAATTGGGCGTCCCAGCCAGTATGTCTTCCACATCATCAAAGCTACCTAGGTATCTCAATCATACCATATACCGAAGCACACACCTGGTAGAGGGCTGTTAACTGTTCGAGACTTGATTTTTTTTTGGGATCTGAGGTACCCCATAACGCTGTTAACAACAAAACATACCGAAGCACAATCTCAATGGCCAGCCCGAATCAGGACCAGACTGCAGTCTGAGTCAAAAGCGCGCTCTCGGCTTCTAGGGACTACTACTATCAAACATCGACGATCCGATGGAAACGCGCATAGGTCTCTTGGAAGCTTTCAGAAAATGACTCACAAGACCAACGAGTGCCAGGTCGGTACCTACAACAGCATTAGCCAACCTTACTTTCACCGGTCGTATCCAAAGAAAGAATACTCACCGGGATATCCTACTACCGATATCGCAATTGGAAGCTTCTCCTCGCGCCCACTCACCCAAGATGCGTACGGAAATTCTGCAACTAGACAAACTTATCAGTCTGAGTTCTCCTCCTGCAGGTATATGACCTACTTGGAACGACAATCTCGGGAGCCTCAATAGTGGGTGAGATATAGAGCGCATCGAACGCGTTCTGCTTACCGGGCGGCTCCGTCTTCCGATCTCTGTAGTTTGGTGCAACCTCAGAGACTGGCAGCACCATCAAGGTATCGTATCTGTCCGCTTGGAACACTTCAGAGAGTAGCCAGTCTCTGTAAGTGTCGAGGCGAGCCACAGCATCCTCGTTCTCTTCCTTAGTCACTGACTTGGCGACATCCCTGGCGCGAAGTTAGATCACGTCAATATCCGAGACGGCGGTGCGCACCATCTCCACTGTGTGTATTCATTTGCGTAAGGTTCCTTCTGGAACTCGCGCCTGTACGTTTCGCGGAATTTGTCGAAGCTATGATAGAAGTCGTACAGAAAGGTTCTAGTGGAGACCTAGGGCACGTCAGCATCGCTATCGCGATGATTCAATGAAGCCAGACCTCGCTCAAATAGCCATCTAGTGACTCTTCATCCACGGTATTTGGATGCGACCTTTCCCATTCCAGTGATAAGTCGATCTCCGTGACTGGCGCTTGCAAATAGTCGCTGAAATCCTTGACGAAACTCTTCACGTGCTGCATCTGTACTTCGTTGTTGACTGGGAAGAAGTCCACTGGATACAGAAGCCTTTTCGGCAGCTAATCATGATCAGAAACAGTCGACGATATGATTACAAACCGCCCGGATTGAACTCACATTAGCCTTGGGTTTTGCGATGTCGCAATTGTTGAGCCATACTTGGAGTATGGTATCCATCTTGTCGATATCGCGAGCGAAGATACATTGCGTGTCGAAACGACTGACGATCAGTGAACCCATCGCATCAATCACGCAATGGTATGAACTTACTCGAAAGTCGGCACCATTCCTTCGAGTGCCAGACGCCCTGTAGAAAGACGCAGTGCGAACAAGCCATTCACAAATGCCGGGCGACGCCCGCTTCCCGTAGCTACTATGCTTTAGGATCGAATCTCCAGCTGAGACTTTGACTTACTGTCAGATCCAAGGGTGAAGTCCAACCACGCGTAAGACGCAAGGCCCGCTGCACTTCCGCTGCTACTGCCAGCCGGTGATTGATAGCCGTCTCCGCGGGGGTTGAACGGTGCTTGGTAGTCTATGGCTTCAGTCGGCTCTTCACGTCCAATGAAGGAACTCAACTTCAGCATCCCGACCAGAGTACAACCTTCGCTCAACAATCTCGTGATGCATGGAGCGGTCATCTCCGCTCGCTCCGAAACTGCATAGTACGGTCGGCTGCAGAGTGAAGCTTTCAAGCCAGCGACTGAGTACATGTCTTTTACTGCGAACCTCATACCGCTCAGTCGCAAGTCCGATCCTTGCTCAGTTAGATTGAGAGCACTCGCTCGTGACGGTATGGCGACACTAAGCGTCTGATATCTATCGCTACACAGCCGCAGATTTTCATATATGCTTGGTACGACGTTAGTATATTATCTTTTAGAATGCGGAGCAGATTTCACTTTTCTTCTTCACCTGGACGAATAGCAGCCATAAAAGCACCATTGGTATCTTCGTACAGTCTAGCCACCTTCCAGAGGTCGCTACCATGCAGCAGATGAGGACCGGTCTCAATGCCACAGCCACTCTGCAAGGTCGCAAGCGTGAGAGTCCGCAGCCCGCGAGCGTTCAGCGCAGCCGCGACCTCGACTTCCAACTACAGGCTCGAGCGGCCGTGAGATGCGACCACGACATTTTGAAGAAAGCTTGAGCTAGTCACATCGTCTTTGGCCTGGACCTTTTCTAATTGCTGTATGATCTGCGCGTAATCCGGAGGGTGTGACGCTGGGATCTTCAAGAGAAAGCAGGGCTGTAACTGCGCATCCTTTGGAGGCGGTGCATTCTCGAAATTCAATCGCCAATGTTTCTGGGACCACATGGTGTACGATATCGTGTCGAACGTCAAATTGGTACTGACGGGACGGAGCTTTTGCGTTTGAGCTGTGTGTAAGAGAGCCTCCCACACTTGGAAGTCCATGCTGATAGCGCGCGCTTTCGATGCTGATGCGCCCATTGTATATTTTGCATGTAGGGAGGTAATAGCCTGGTTGGATATGGTAAGAGAGGGTTTGTTGGGCGTAGGTGGGCTGTATAATAACCCGAATTCCCAAGTCACGGATCCGCTTCACCCACCCAACGGGCTGGTCCCGTCATCAGCCGTGTGACAAACTCTACAAATGAGTTTTTACCCCCCTTGGGTAAGTCTAAGGGCGAGTAGGGTCGTGAGTGCCAGACAATCATGTTTGTCGTTATATTCTACATAGCAAACACATGTCACACGATCCACCCCACGCGCCAACACACGTCACTCAATAACTTGTCTCTCCGTCACGGTTTTGTTTCTATTGAATGAGCTTTTTTTCTCGGTTCTTTCGTCAGGGAAAAGAGGCGTGGCTGGTGATATGCCGGACTGAAGAGTGGCGTCGAGCCTGTTCAATGCACATCATTCGTACGATCCTCCAAGTGACCGTGATCAGCTCACCATCCTGAGGTGTAAGGATCTCTTTGAGATCAGACAGTTGAAATCGTGTTGAACAACAAATTCATTGCGGTGCGGAAGTAGGTCATTAATGCGCATAGAAAGCAAGTCCTAACTCCGGCGAAACCAACCCTTCTTCTTCATTGTCCCACCCAAGTACTCCACAACTTCACGATGCTTCTTCGCCTGCGCATGATCCAACGGGGTCTTGCCCTGACGATCCTGTACATTCATCGTAGCCCCATATTCCAGCAGCCCACTGACCATTACAGTGCTCCCCAGCTTCGCAGCTTCATGTAGCGGCGTCGACCCAGAGTAGTCCTCTGCATTGACGTTTGCGCCTTCTTCGATCAATCTGTCGAGTATATGGAGCATGTGATCGACATGTGTATACACAAGCACGTGTAAAATACTGCGGCCTGTGAGATCAGTGCGATGCATGTCCTCTTTCGCTCCGTAGTCTTCAAGGAGTTTGCTCACTATATCGACGTAGCCCATTTGAACTGCGTAGAATAGCGCGCATGTCATGCCGTTAGCACGTGAGTGTACGTCTGCACCGCGATCAAGGAGAAGAGTGATGATGCCGTAGTTGCCGCCTTCAAGCGCCATAGCTAGCGGTTTCGCGCCAGCTTTCCCGATGGCTTCGATGTTGGCTCCCGCATCTAGGAGCGCAATGACAGCGAATATCTGATTCAGCGAGATAGCTAGATGGAGTGGTGTGTTTGCGTCCTCATTTGCCAGTTCTGTGTCGGCCCCATGCGCTAACAGCATCGGTATATGCCAGCCTAGGAGATCGAAGCTTGTGACTGCATCGTGGAGTAGTGTATTCCGGCCGTATACGGACTGGTCATTGATATTTGCGCCCACTGACAAGAGCTGTCGAAGCGATAGCGCGTTTCCAAACCAGAGCGCGTACCTGAGAGGGGTGAAATCCGCTTTAGCTGCGAACATCGCTTGACGAGGCACGTCAAGCCATGCGCCACGTTGAATTAGTACCATGGCTAGACGAACGTCTTGTGTTCGAGCAGCTATGTGAAGGCCAGTACATCCACTCTTGTCTGTCGTATTGGCCGATGCTCCGCAGTCTAGCAGAATTTCCACAATCTTGTAGACATAAGGTGTAGTGGCGTTGTTGCTGATGACCCATTTAAGGGCCCTTTCCGGCTCATTCCGATAGGACTTCTTTCCTTTGAATCCGGCTTGGGCAAGACAGGCCAAGGCCTGTGCGGTGATATCTTGTGGTGATCGGTCTGTATCGTCCTCAATGGTCCACTCATCGATGATATAGTCGTAATAGCTATGATCTGGATACGCAGGTAGCGGCATGCCAGCGAAATCATCGCCGTGGGGTAGCGAAGGAGGATTTGTGAACGGCCCCGGTGGGCTGATTTCAGCGACACAATCTTCACAGTCGCAAGATGGAAAGTCAATGCACGGCTCTCGATCCTCATTCAGGGCACGCTCCCCTTCACAAGACCGACACATGCACGAACTCAGACATGACATGATGTAGTCCACATCGCTCAACGTCTTGAGTGAGAGGCGCACCAAATGATAGGTGCACGTGCAATCCGCCAGATCGGGGACGAGATCGTCGACTTTGCGGACTGCCTGGAACAAACGACAGAGATCACACGTGCAACCAGTGGGCTCCTGTTGACGAGCGAGAGAAAGTGTGCTCTGATATGGTGGCGGTGGCGGAGGCGGAAAAAGTTCGGACTCGTCCGATTCATACTCTCGTAGTAAATCGGCTATCTCCAAGTTGCCAATCTTTTCGCTGATCGTCAGTGGTGTGTTGCCAGACAGATCTTCGACATTAGCGTCAGCACCAGCCGCCAACATACTCATGATGAACTCAGTAGGCGCGTCATGGTAGCAGGCCAGATGCAGTGAAGTTTCACCACAATCGTCCTTGGTATTGATATCGGCAGCGCCAAGGTAGCGGAGCAAAATTTGGTAAGTCGCTAAGCGTCGTCGATGGATTGCAACATGGAAAGCGGTCTGGCCTCGAAAGTTCGTGATTGTCGCATTGGCACCTTTCTTGATCAAGTACTTCGTGATACCAGCTCTGTTCCTGTTCGCCGAATAATGCAATGCGGTGTGATTGAATACATCGCGTTGATGGATGATCTGCGGCTCCACAAAGAGGGCGTGCTCAATCACATCACGTGCGAGAGAGTCATCGCGGAAGTTGCTGGCGACAAGCATAACGTTGGCCCCGTATTTGTCAAGCGCTTCTGTCGCGATTAGACCGGTGATTTCATTTCTCCAGTTTGGATTCTTCTCCCTCAGAAGGGCCAAGTGATATTCGAATGCGCCGTCATCGGCTGCAAACGCTTCCGCAAGACTGATGGCAGTAGAAGAGTCTTCTTCGTTCGTGGGTTCGGCGGCCTTTGGTATATGCACGAACCGCAAGTGAGCCGCTTCGTGCTCATGATCGGTACGTTTGCCTGTGCGATCTCTGGCTATGTGTTTCGGTTTCGTTGCTTGCATCTCCGGTATATCGGCGCGAGCTTTGTCCACATCGTTGGTCTTTTCCATACTAGCCCTTGTCAGTCTTGGGTAGCTATCCTCGGTCACAGCTGCAGGTGTGGCGCAGAATGGTACATTTGCATCGTTCCCGACGTTGAGCCATATAGGGTGCGACTGATGGACACCTCCCGTGGAATGATGACCGAGGTAATCCGGTACATGGGGAGGTGTATATACTATCTTTTCGATGCTTGGGGGAGGTGCCTGGAGCGTCACGTCATTGCCGATGGATGTCGTCGTAGTGTTGTTGATGACGGTAGGTTCATCCGACATGCCATCACTCAGCACGGCCGTCTGGAAGATCTCATCTTCTGACTGCGACCCTGCCCAAGATGTTGTGTCACTTCCGTCCCCCGACAAACCCTCACTTGCACAACATGGACCGCTGTAATGGTTTCCTCTGGCTTGTTCCTTTGTTATCATTGCTTGGAGATCTTGAGCTGTGAGTCTGAGTTTAGGAACACTGGCGGTCATGTTACTGGTCCATTGTAACAAGGGCTGATCAGTCGTTGATCCCATCGACAGCTCGGCTATCCAACTCTGGATTGCTTCTGGATTCTGCCAATAATTTGTTGACAGTGTCCCTGTAGTTTGGAAGAATTCAGCCTTCGATCGCAGTTGTCTCTTGGTAAGAACAGTCTAGAGGTGTCAGCGATGTTGAAACATACACACAAGCAACTCTTAACTCACGGCGATCTCCAGATAAATGCATCCCAAGGACCATACATCTGAAGCGGTATTACGGGGTTGCAGCATGCCAACCTGAGATAGTGTCAACAAGGATTCAGGTCATCATGCGTAGCTGAACTCACTTCGGGTGCGATGTATGCCGGTGTATAAGCTTCGGGTTGGCCCATCGTAGTCTCTCGTTGCGCCTCAGTCCAGTCTAAAGCGAGTCCAAAGTCCGCTATATACACTTGCTCGCCTTTGATCAGGATATTGGAGGGTTTGAGATCTTTGTGGCGGCATTTGTTATCGTGAAGATAGACCAGAGCGGAGCACAAGCATCCCACGAAGCCCCGCAGGACGACATAGTCTTGTGTAGTCCACGCATCCCGGGCCAGATATTGTTGCAGATCGAGATCAGCTACTGGTTCCATGATGATGCCAATGTATCTTCGATCGGTGTATGAACTGACACATTACTCGTTAGCGACGCACTGTATTTCGGCTTGCCCAAACTCACCCTAGGAGCTTCACCAGATGATGGTGCGACAGTCGCTTGAGGTTATGGACCTCGTTCTCGAATGAGAGCAGCTTCTTGCGGTCCTTTGAAAATGTGCCGCTCCTTCGATCGATGCGTTTTAACTGTTGCTGATGAGTCAACCCTCTAGCAAAACATATCATAAGTCCTTACAGCGTATTCGATCAAATCAATTCTGCTTTCGACACGATGGACAATGCTGAAGCCGCCTTTCCCAAGCTGCTCCTTAATGACAAAATAAGAATCTGCACCTTTGTCTGGCGAAGGTCAGCACCTGAGCAGCGAACGGTGTACAGAAGTGTAGCTTACCAAGGTGATGATGACGACCTCCTTGTACCAGATCGACTGATCTTGAGCTGAGCACAAACCGTTGTTCCCGAAGAAAGTTTTGCCTGGAAGCAACGGATTTGAGACTGGAAATGAGGTCGACTTCAGTGAAAGGGAAGTGAATGTCCTTGAACCCTTCGACAATGAGCATATTCATCGCTCGTACTTCCTTGATCATGCGGAGAACAAGATATAACCTGGGCCGTACACTCCAGTCATGCTTTCCAAGCATTGCGAGTAGTTCGCCGAGCGCCAGAATTGTCTCGTCGTTGTATGGCTTCTCGGTACCCATACGCTGGGTGGCCGCGGTCGATAAAAGTGACGAAACTCTCTCCTCGAAGTCTTCAGCATCTATCTGCACACTAGTCGTAGTCATTTCTGAAAGACGGGTGGCAGGTAGCACTGGTGAGGCTGACTTGTTCGTCTCCGGGCTCAAGGCGTTTACTCGCGGGATTGCCGATGGGGTCGGGGTGGCCGGCATGCTTGCAACGCGTCTCTCCGCTCTTGGGGTCGTTGGAGTCGACGGTACCTTCGAGGCTGGGCTTTGGTCAATTGGCGGGCCAAATCTTGCAGGCGGTGTTTGGTGGTCCTTGCCAGTCCTCCGCGGTGGTACAGGAAGGCGGGTCCGGTCAACCATAGGACGTGAGCTCTGCGTCTCCTCGAGTATAGACGTAATTTGGTCGAGTCGCATTGTGGCTCGGCGTCGGACCTTTGCAGATCTATGCTGGAGCTCTCGCATTTCATCCAGCATCACTGTCTGCTCTTTGTCACCTGGCGCCGCTAGCCGTTCGTTTAGCAATTTTCCGATTTGCTCCAAGGCCACCTCGAGTCTGCTGATTTGAGCTTTCAGGCTTGCGGCATCGAGAGCATCACGTTCAGCAACCTGCATTTGCTTGCAGCTGGGATAATTCGTCAGTCATTGCCTTCATTGTTCGAAAGGGGACGACATACGTTGAGACAACCGTAAACGCCAACTGAATTGAGCTCTTATGATCCTGGAAGTTGCGCTTGATGTGTTGGAGGTCATCCGAGCGTCTATCAAGCTTGAACTGAAGCACGCCCTGCCTTAGGCGGCCCGTAGCCCCTGAGATATCGAGATCGTAGATGAAATTGCTGAGTCTTTGGGCCTCGCGCTCGCAGCTTTGAAGAGCTCGTTGGAGACATTCTAGCAAGTTGACCTGCGACGCGCCTTGCACTTCTTCCACCGCAGCGACGAAGCTCGGGGTGCTGAGAACGCGATGTATGTTGTCGATCAGGTCGCAAACAGCCTCTGAGTCGGCTCGGAGTTCATCAAGAGTCTGATGAATGCTGCCTCCGTTGGAGTACGCATCCTTCAACTGTTGAACTGCTGGACGGAGAATCTGTATGACCGTCAATGCGAGGCCAACGATGCTGATCGGGTCCGCCATGTGAGGCAATTGAGCACGAAAGATGACAAAGATTTGGTCAAGAAAGACATCAAGGCTACGTTCCAACAAAAGGTCTGGTGCACTACTTATCCTGTGGTGCACAGCCCTGCAACCGAGCAACGCATCGAAACTGAATCCGTAGCCATGCGTCTCAAGCCCATTTTTAGGCACGGTATCAAAGAAGCCAGGCTGAGTTAGTCTATTGGTAAGGAATCAAACTTGACTGCAGATGTAAAGCGCTTCAACACTAGCGGCGGCAATGTCAAGAAGAAGGGGGCCGAGACCGAGTGGTAAGGAGGGCTGCTCGCGGAGATGATTGCCCAAAGAACGCATCCTCTCTTCAGCTCTCTGACAAAAAGGCTTGCCAAGAGTTATCGAGACGGACATGCAGGAAGGCTACCGATAAGAGATTGGGGGCTGATGACAAGGCTGAACGAGAGCCGCCTTCTTGAGGGACAAACCCACCCCCTCACTGACTAGGTTTTTCCGCTCCAAACGACAGCCTGAGTGTTCTCCATGCGTTCGCAATCAGGGCCTGCAAAGAATATAGGACCCAGTCAAATAGAATTTTCGGAGCACCTGTAAGCCGTTGGGTTAACGTTGACCTTTTGAGTACCTCCTGCGTGACTAAAGATGAGTCCTTTAGGATTTACACGTTACATACTGAACGGGATGGATTGATCAGTGTTTTTACATCGCAAGCCAAACTCAATGCGGGAGTCTTACATGTTCAGATGCATCAGGCCACCTCTGCGCTCGGCCCGGCAGTGGCGAGCAATTGCACGTGAAAGCTCCCGAGGTCCACATGATGTGTCGCGTAAGCAGCCACCAAAAGCAGGCCGTGGTATCAGGTAGGCTGTATAATGACCCGACTGCCCCGGAGGCGAAATAACGCATGCGAAACGTATTGGTACCATTGTACTACCTCAAAATTTCATCAACGCGATATCGTACAAGCCATGTCAAGGCAAAGATTGTATACATGCCATTCGTTCGTTCATCTCCCAGGGGTATTCAATTCTCCGCTTCTCATCGTATCGTAAGATTGCATATACACAGCAGCCGACAACATCACTCTCCTCCGGTCCATGGACACAACATCGGTATACGCGTCTTCTACAAGAAGTATTCTCCGCGACCTCCACGACCCGCGGGAACGGCGCGCTTATGATCTGGAACCGCAGAGAAGATTTGGAACTCGGGCTTGAGGTCCTCGCCTAGGTTCATGATGGAGGCGACGTTTCCGCAGCGGTAGCAGTAGTTGGGTGCGGACCAAACGGTGACAACGTCTTTGTCTTTGAAGTGGTATTTGTAGCCTTCGTTGACTAATTGATGGGCGCGTGCGATGAGTTGGAGACCGTTTACGTGGTTGAACTGCAACAGTCAGCGATGGGGTAATGGGGGAAGGAAGATGAATGCATACCTCTGAAGACACCTTGTCTCCAAAAAGCCAGCCGGCTCCTCGGGGTGAGACAGCCCACGTGTCGACATCTTCCGGATCACTCCATACGAGATCACAGAAGGCTCCCTCGTGAGGGATTTCTTGGGCTCGCGCAACAACGCGGATCTGGTCTAGTGTTCTGATTTCCGGACTTAGACCGCCGTGTACGCAGAGCACCTTTCCGTCGACGATAGCGGCTAGGGCAAGGAAATCGAAGACTTGGCAGCAGGCCTTCCATACCGAAGCGTTGCCGTATTTGGTCTGACATTCCTCGTAGAAACCGTAGACTTGGGTGATTTGTCTCGACTCGTGGTTTCCGCGGACGAGAGTGACGCGGTCAGGGAATCTATTTCAATTAGTACCGTTAATGTAGTTCTGTGTGCCAGTTGACCTACTTCGCCTTCAAGCACATGAGAAGGGTAAAGGTCTCCAGACTGAAGTATCCTCGGTCGACAAAGTCACCCAAGAAGATGAAGTTCTGCTGGCCATTTCCACCCACTGTGTTCTTGGTAGAGTCTGCGTCCGATGCCGAGCCAAGACTCCGCCTGTCGTGAACGCTCCTGCTTCGGCCGCGTTCCTCCTCCTCTTCGTCGTCGCCCTCTTCATCGCCATCGCCGCCAGGAGGACTTGTTGGCCCAGTGTAGTTGGGATCGCGCTGGAATCTTCTCTTCATCTTGCGCTTGACCTTGGGGTCTGTTATGCTGGTAGGAGGCTCGAGATCGGCGGGGTTGATTGTGCTTGGTAATGTGACTGGCGGTGCGAGGGGCGCGGCAGGGGAGTCGTTGGGCATGCCGCCAGCGACACGGAAGAGCTCGAGGAGATCGTAGAATTGGCCGTGGATATCTCCGCATACTGTGACGGGTGTTCGTACAGGTTGGATGTTGGATTCTGGTAGACGTAAGTTAGTCTTATATATGGATATAGATATCATGCCGCACAATAGGCATGCTTCTCCTCCCTTGCGTGGATCATGCGGCATTGTTTCACTCACCCTCCATCAGACATTCCTTGACAATTTCACATAGTCGCTTCATGTCGGCCTCGGGCAGGTACTTGCATTGCTTGGCCTGCTCCAGCCATTCATCCGGCCCTGCGCCCTTTGCGAGGCGCGCGGGCCCTGGCTGTGGTACGTCGCTATCTTTGCCCATTTTTCAGTCGTGCTCTAGCTCAGAATGAATAGGGGAAGCTCGATGCGATGCGTTTAGGTCGGGATAGGCGACAATGGCGGCGGGAGGGAGGCGGGTCGTGTGCCGATCGGGGTGCTGAGGGATGCGCTATAGGGTATCATGGGTCAGCGTGGCTCGCAGTGATAGTGTGCGCAGTCAGCGGCAATTCGCTGCGTCGTGGGCAGCGCGAGGTTCGGGGTATTGAGGATATATCGGCGTGGTTGAGGTGTAGTCGAGACGCGGGCGCCGGTGGGGCAGCTGCCGCCCCTCGGCGCTTGCCGTTGCGCCTGCCTTCGCCCACTGTCTCGTGAAGGCGCGCCCGTTGTCGCTGCGTCATTGCCGCAACTCTCACCAAAACAATCGCCGTGTTTGGTACTGCCTTCTCGAGTGGCCATTCAATGTCCTCATCTACGAACCGGCGCTCCCTCCTCCACCTCACCTCTGCCCAGCGACACGCGCGATAAATTCACCCGGCACAGGCTCTTGAATACGACTACAACCACGGTATATACTATGTTTGTGTATGACAAACAACCATCACTAACAGCTAACTATAGAGAAGAAACATCTACTCGAGCATACCGACTGTACCCACAAACGAGCATCATCGCGCTCTCATGGCCCCTCCGAACAACCCCAACGGCGTCCTGCCAGTCACACTTCTCCAGAAGAACGCCCTGGCCCAGTCGCCCCGTGGACCCAAAGCAGCCCAGCCTCGCCTGAAGCTGATATGTCGGCGACTTCCTCCTGGTCTTACCAAGACCGAGTTCATAGAGGCCCTAGGCGACGAGTGGAAGCTTGGTGCTGGCAAGATCGATTGGATGAATTACAGAAAGGGCAAGATTTCTACTGAGTACTCTCACCTTCTTGTCTTTTAGAGACGGCCTATTGACCCCCTCAGTGCCGCCAAACCCTCCAAGCCAGCGCGCGCATACATCCACGTTATCAAGCAGGACCACGTCAAGGCCCTCGGCGACCACGTGCGCGCCATTACCTTCCACGATGCCACCAAGTCATGGCAGGACCCCGCCCTCGTCGGCCCGCCTACGCTCGAATACGCTCCGTACCCGAAGATGCCTGGTGGCCGCCGTAGGAACGACAACCGCCAGGGCACCATCGATCAGGACCAGGAATTCAAGGACTTCCTCGAGAGCCTCACCAACCCCATCACCAAGCCCCCGGCCGCCGACAATGAGGGTCAGAAGGAGAAGGTCAAAACCACTCCTCTGATCGAAGCGCTCCGGGAAAAGAAGGCTAACAGGGAGAAGCCGAGCGCAAAGGCAAATCGAGGTCGTGGAGAAGGCAAGGATGATGGTGAGAAGAAGATACTCGCCAAGCCAGGCAAAGAGAACGCCCTAAACTCGGGAGATAAGAATCGCCGCATAAGCAAGGCTGACAAGGCTCAAGCCTCTAAGGAGGCTGTCAAGATCCTTAACAAGGAAGCGTCATCCTCCAAATCTGCCTCAGCCTCGGCGGACAAGACCTCTGCCAGCCCAGCACCGGAGCGCAAGCGTGGTAACGTTGCACTCGCAAAGTCGATGCTGCAGCGTGACCTCGGTGTAGGACCTGTCCCAACTCGTCGACGTGGAACGAAGCGCGAGGTTGGTACGCCTGCGCCCGAGTCCAATGCGCAAGCAAAGGAGACCAAGGCAGTCGAGGAAAAGGCCAAAGAGTCGCCTGCTTCACAACCAGCAGCAGCAACTCCGGACAAGAATGCGCAGGCAAGCAGGAAGGAACGCCCGACTCGAGCAGAACGCCGCGCTTTCAAGGCCAATCAGGGCGACAAGCCCAACGACAAGGCTACTGCCAGCGATGTAAAGCCCCAGACGCCGTTGAAGACTCCTGCGCCGCAAATCTTGAAGAAGCCTCAGGCTCAGACTCCGACGGCTCCCAAGGGTCCAGCTGCTTCACGAGCTCCACCCACCGAGCCTGCCGCAGCCAGAAACAGCCCCGCTCCTACACAGTCGCACTCTACTCCAGCAAAGGCCGATGCGGGACCCGCCCAGGCGCACAACAATGCCCCCAAAGCAGCACCAGCTCAACCTGTGCCCGCACCCACGAGCAAGCAAGCGTTCCTGAAGCATGCCAATCCCAGCCAGGGTATCACTGAGCCCCTCATCGAAGAAGTCATGAAGACCTTTGGAGGTATTGACAAAGTCGAGATTGACAAGCGTAAGGGCTTCGCCTATGTCGACTTTGCCGAGCCGGATGGTCTCAAGAAAGCCATGGCCGCCAGCCCCATCAAGATCGCCCAAGGCGCTGTTCAGGTTCTTGAACGGAAAGAAAAGGTCGCCAGAGCTCCTCGCTTCAACGGTCCACCGACCGGGCCTGCTCGTGGCGGCGCTCGTGGCAACTTTGCACCTCGTGGAGGACGTGGTGGTCGTGGAGGTGCT